CGAGACTCTAACCAATTGAGTAGAAGCTTTGGAATTGAGCATAATGATTGTCAATTATTCCATGAACTCCCTTCATGATTAAATTCTGGATTTAAGGTAAGTATTTTGCCGTATTTTTCTCTTTTATTCTATACTTTGACTTTAAATACAAGCAAAGACAATAAAGTTTGATTATTACTCTAATGGAGTTTGTAAGAAATTATAACCACCTGAAGTGGTAAAATTTCTATGCCTCGCCATGATCAAATTCATGAATGATTGTGGGCAAAGAATTGAAATCCCGTCCCATTGAATTTGCTCCATTCCCATTCCCTTAAGAGAATGTGATAGCAGTATATGATAAGTCTGAAAGAAGACAAAATTATTACTATGAATGTATCAATGGATATGGACGTGGCAATAGACGAAATTATAATCGTCATCATTTGTGATAATGAGAACAATAAGGATTCTCAAAAGCACGTATAGATGATTATGGTCCATTCATGATGTGAATGTGACAACATCTGATTTATGAATACATATTCATTCTTCAAAGAATATGAACGTGCTAGTGGTAGTGAATATACCGCACTCACCTCTAAAAGGATGTTTGAGATGATATAAGAAAATAAAGTTATTATTATGGCATGAATGGTCATTGGTCACGTACCTATTGTACGCCAAAATATTTTGGCATTGTGATTGTTAAAAGACAACGGTAATGCAAGAAACAGATCTTGCATATAATTTTGACCACAACCATAATGGTATAACTTTCTCTTTAAAAGATATATTCACCATATGGATGTTGATGAATATGTGGCAGTACCAAATTAATTGAGAGCTCCGGAAGAGCCAATTATTACTATTTTGGAGAAACACAATTGATTACCAATAAGGTATTGTGTTGTAGTAAGTCTCAAAGAAACTTATTCAGTTTCCAAAGTATACGCGAAAACGATTGATTATATTGAGACTATAAATAAAGGAAAGATTTAATATCTTCTATTACTACAACTTGTAGCGGGGTAATATGTATGTGAAAAGCTACCCGCTTTGTTCTCCAGTTTGTACTACACAAATAAAACCATACCACAATAAAGTGGATGTTTATTGATATAAAAATCCATATCATAATAAACTCGGAGTTTATTGATAATTACACACGTCATGGTGTAAACCTGAATTTTATCAATATTGATAATTTATTCGGTTGGCATAATTGGTTTAGCCATATTAATTTTAGTATGATGTGCAAAAATAAAAGAGAATTCACACGGGTAAATATTAAAGAACTAGAAAGTTCTTTACGAATTCTCTTACATTGCTTGTTCTCATTAATTAATAGACCAATTAAAATTGGGATTGAATCCCATGAGTGCTGGAAATATCAAAGGTGAATATGGGCCCATTCACCTGCCATGTATACCACATAAGATGCATCTATGAGATGGTTACATGTGCAATTATTATTGACCCGCAACCTGGTGTTTGCGAGGTAACTTGCTCAATAATTTAATATAGAGCATAATTTTCAGATTTTTTATTCAAGATAGTTCTTCTTGATAAGTTGGTTTACATCACAGTTGGTTTAGCAAAATGATTTATTGAATGCTTTCACTTAATAGCTAAACTATTGCTTATGAGAACAAAGTTATATATATCAGTTTGATATACGTTATATACGAAAGTATATTATTTTCTCCCCTCACAAGTGGTTCAGGGTCAGGAACCAAATAATTCCATCTTATTATTATTGATGTGCGATGTATATTATGATTAACACCATAACGCACAAAGATGGGTTCTCAAAGTTGAGGAAACAAGTTAGTTTTTCTAACATGAGGGGGAGACATGATAAACAGTTGAGAAAAAGTTACGTGGAATGAATTATCATTTGTACATCTAGATCCTCGAATAAGATAATATGAACTTGAAGTTCATAAAAGGATAATTCATTTGCAATATATTGCAAAGCATGCCAGACGCATTTGCTGACCCAAAGAAAGTAACTATATTCTCATTGCAAATGCTCCTATTAAGTCCTAGAAGGACAAAGTCTATGGTACGCTTAAAGCGTATAGACAAATCGGTTTCAAATAAACTTCTTGATAAAGAAGATGAGCAAATGATCAAAATGATCATAATAAAGGAGGCAAGTGATCTAGAAGATCACATGACATAACACTTCATAAAATCTCATGAGAGATTCAAGTACCTGAATATATGAATGAAGAGATCTCTATGTTATGTCTTTATGAAAAATAAGGAGGTTGGAACCGATATAAAATGTTTGTCGACGACATCTATAATAGCGCTAAATATATATGAGGATCTTAAGTCTGGAGAAACAATTCAAGTAGAATTTGGTTTCATATGAAAGACATGTAGTTTTGGACCTGCAGTTCAAACACTTGAAAGTATAAAGTCAATGGTATGTGCAATCAGTTTTCGATATCTTATATGTCTAGCATGACATGAAAACTTGATATGCATCTAAAGTCTATTATATGGCTTATATGACTTAACAATCCCTGAAGGATTTAAATTGCTTAAAGCATATAGAATTCATGGTCATGAAGTACTACATCCTCAGTGCAATTTGTGCACAAATGTATCTTGCTATAACTATATGCATGATAATATGATAGCAAGAGTTTTCACCTCTATGTGAAGATACTGAACTGACGATTCCAACAAGATCATATGAAGACAATTCATCTCTATCAAGAATGATGATTTCAAGGTGCAATATATTCATTCAAGTTAATATGGCTGATTTCTTTATCAAATCTCTACCAAAGATCTTTTGAAGATGGTGCACAAGATTGGAATGCAAATGCTTAAAGATGTGAATTGATGCTTTCATCAGGGGGAGTTAATACGCGTTGTACTCTTTTTCCCTTACAAGGTTTTGTCCCACTGGGTTTTCCTTGCAAGGTTTTTAACGAGGCAACCAAACGGCGTATTGTTAGATATGTGTACTCTTTTTCCTTCTCTAGAATTTTTTTTCCACTGGGTTTTATTTTAGTTAAGGTTTTAACGAGGCACATTATCTGTTGAATAGACATTCAAGGGGGAGTATTATAAATAGAATTGTATTTATGGTGAATGTCTATATTTAGAGAGATTCTAGGGTTCATTGCTTGGTGGCTAAGTCACCCTCTCCCTATAAATAGAGGGTTTTATTCCATTGTAATTCATCCCAAATCAATAAGAATTCTCTCCCTCTACTTTTCTCTGCAATACTCTTCTTCTTCTTTTATTGTTTTATAACAAAATTATTATTACTATATTATGTAACTTGTCGGTGAATCAAATGACTCGTTAGTATTTTGAATGGCTGCTAAAATAACTTGATCTTTTGCTTTTTTAAAGTAGTGAATGAAATGTCTCCTAAAGTTGGAAGAATTTCCATTAATAAACATATAGAGTGGGTTTATTCTGTATTTGGAATAATTCTATCACTTTTATTATGAGAAATCGTAGCCTTTTTCAGTGCTAGCTGAACATATGATAATAACTTAGTGCAACATTGAATAGAAATACCATCAAAGGATGTGGTGCAGTGGATGAGACTGCTCTTCCCTTAATCAGAGGTTTCGAGTTCAAGCCCTGGTTATGGAAAAATCCTTGGTAGGGAGCGCTTCCCCCCGAATGGAGCCCTACGTGGAGCGAATCCGGATATAGTCGGGCTCCAATGCGGGTACCGAACACCGAGTGAGAAACCAAAAAAAAAAAACATTGAACAGAAACAATGATGGACCTATGTGGGCGCTCGAGCAAATAAACTCTTTTTCTCTCTTTTCTTCAAACCTTTTGTTGGTGAGCACTCATGACTTTAAAATATTCAGTCTAACATTAAATACGTATAATCTCCCATCCTCCTGACCGGCGAGTTTGCCAAATACTTTTTTCCAAATTTAAGGTGTTTGGCCAAACTTTTAGAAGCCAAAAAACACTTTTGAGTAACAGCAAAAGTTATTTTTGAGAAGTTGAAAACAATAGAAAGTATTATTTTAAAAAATATTTTTGAAAAAATACAATTAGAAATACTTTGCTTCGAACGTTGTTAGGAAAGATAAATTGGAAAGCCGGACGAAATAGCCCTCTCTATACTAAATGGATCCAGTATTTTAGAACTGGTGGTGGGAACCGAACGAAATCAAAGAAGGCCTTAGCCCTTAGAATCGAATTCTAAACAAGCGTGGTGCTCAAATTTAACTCAAAAATAAAAAAGGTTAGACTCCGATCAAGAATATTGTGTTGGAAGGCATGACGTGGATCGCCAACATGTCTTATTTTGTCCTCTAGAAAGTGATATGCTTCTTTTAAAATTAATTGCTATTCAAAAGTGTTACTCCATCCGGTCCATAATAAGTGACTAATTTGCTTTTTTATTTTGGTCCAAAATAAGTTTCCATTTATATAATCAAGAAAAAATTCAATTTGTATTTTCAAAAATACCCTTATGTACGTATCCCTAAAAAGTCGTTTACTCCTCACATTTGAGAAGAGAAATAAGTGCTACTATAACTATGCTGCAACATTTAATTAAGGGTAGTTTAGTCACACTATCTATTTTTGTTCAAAATTTAGTATTTCTTTAATAGGGTGCCCAAAACAAATTAGTCAATTATTGTGAACCGAGAAAGTAATGGATTAGGTAAATAGATTAAGAGCTTAGCCAAGGCTATTAATTAGATCGGAGGTTGAGTAGTTGGAATTTGGCAAGAGGAGTGTAGAAAGAGGAAAGAAAGTAGATGAACCAATCATGTGGATAAAAAATGACGAAACTACAAAAAAGATAGCCAGTACCAGTACTCACGTGGGTAATGACATTTGGAAATATTAGAAGCCATTTTTTGTCAGCAAATATTATGCTAAAGAAAAGCTTTAAAAAGTCATACTACTAATTACAGTACAGTATTCTAGTGAAACTAAGCAGGCACAGGGGACACCTTATTCTTTGTATATAATATAAATAAAAAAATGAAATTAATCTATAAAGATGAAAGGCTTAAATCAACAATGGCCCAAAGTTTGGAGTTTTGGTATGACTTGCTCCTTACAATTTTAAAAAATAAAAGCCATGAAATCAAGATTTCAGATCTAATTAAGCAAACTACTTTCCATTTTTTTGAAACCAACATTCCACCTCACTGCCATCTTCTTCTTCTTCTTCTTCATATCATCATTTTCCTTAAGTTTTTCTCAATTCTCATGATGTTTTTGGCAGGTAGTTAGGTATCCTTTCTTTGCTTTTTTTTCTAAATCTATAAATACCATCATGAGAAACCATTAGAACATAAATTCAGTTCAACTCCCCCATTCTTGGAACCAAAAAAAGTCCCATTTTTGCAATTCTTGAAGTAATCTCTGTGGCAAATTACCAAAAGGGGATCTGATTATTGTTTGAAATCATTTTTCCCATCTAGAGATTGGGGAGTTAAAGAGATCTAAGGAATAAAGATCACATTTTTATATTCAACTTCATCAAATTCTTAGATTTGGAGTTCAAAGTTAGCACCTTTAGGGTTTTGTTTTCACCATCACTAGTAACTGTCAGCACTCAGCACTGTGGTAATTTTTTTTCTTGTTACCTGTAATGGTTAAATCATCTGTGAGCAGAATGTTAGCAGGAAATGGCTTGTTTTATCCAATTATTGGCTTTGCATCATTTATTGCTTTCCTATATTTGTCCTTTGGGGACTTGTGGGTTAATTACAGTAAAGAAATAAATCTCAGTTTTGTGGAGAGGAATGGGACTCAGTTCTATGTTGATGGTAAAGCTTTTTATGTAAATGGATGGAATTCTTACTGGTTAATGGATCATGCTGCTGATTATAGTACTAGACCAAGAATTAGAACTATGCTTCAAGCTAGTGCAAAGATGGGTCTTACTGTTTGTAGAACTTGGGCTTTCAATGATGGTGGTTACAATGCTCTTCAGATTTCCCCTGGCAAATTTGATGAAAAAGTGTTCAGGGTAAGTAATATCTTGTTTTTAGTATGAGTTGGATAATTATGTATTTCTACTTTAGTGCTAAGCCTTTTTAGAGCAATTATTACATAATTCTTAGTTAATAATGATCTCTTGTATATATATATATATATATATATATATATATATATATATATATATATATATATATATATATATATATATATGATCTCTTGTTACTATTCTTGTTGCTTTATTTTCACCGTTCCTTAATCCGAGCGTCTATCGGAAATAGCCTCTCTAACTTGATAAGGTGGGGGTAAGGTCTGCGTACACACTACTCCAGACCCCACTTATGGGATTACATTGTTGTTGTTGATCTCTTATAAACTATTGTTAGTTAGATAAATCTGATTCACCTAATCAAAAGTGTGATTGGCTTAATTTTTAAAATTACAAACACGAAAACTACACCCAATCCGCCGTTTTCCATGTTCCTTTTGGTTTATCCTTAGAACATAAGAGTTGCCCCAACCATTGACTCCACAAGTCTTCTATTTAATGTAGTAGATTTTGTGATCGTACATTTCTTCAGTAGTTTCTGGTCCATAGACTGTTGTTACTTTCTGGATCTACTACCTCTCGAGTAGCTTACTCCTAGCTCTTGTTCTGAAAATTATCTACATATTTTCTCCCTCCGGCTTCTTTAATTTAACATAGCAATCTGTTGCTGCAGGCATTAGATCATGTTATTGCAGAAGCCAGAAGAAATGGAATTAGGCTGATACTCAGCTTGGTTAACAATCTACAAGCATATGGTGGGAAGACTCAATATGTAAAGTGGGCATGGGAAGAAGGTGTTGCTTTAAGCTCTTCCAACGATTCGTTCTTCTATGATCCATCTATCCGCCGTTATTTCAAAAATTATGTCAAGGTAATTTTCCTTTGAAATGGTTTTCCGTGGATAACCTTGTGCTTTCTGCTGTGGGTATTTCCAAATGCGGCAATGTTGTATTTTATGCGAACACGACACATTACATCCATCTAAAACTTGGTCTTTTTCTGTATTAGTCGCATAGCTTTTGATTAAGTTGGAAATGTTATTTATTTCACGAGTTTGAACCGATGTTTCCTATTCGAGACAATATTATGAAGGCCTTAAAAAGCTATTTATTCCATGAGCTTGTACGTCTATTTTCTATTCGAGACATTATTATAGAAACCGTCTATGTATTTGCTTTTGTTTCAAGTAACTCCTGTACTAGGATTTCCAAAATTTTGAGTATCTAACTTGAGATAGACCTTAAATCAAATAGCTCCACTGATTCTGAAGTGGTGAGTTATGGGGATTGAGAAGGCTGTCGGGCTCCTCAGTTGTAGTTTCCTAGGCTGAATAAACTTCCAGTACTTTCAGAAATGTTTATAAATGAGTTATATCGGTTTTCTGAATTTTGTCATCTGCTTTGTTTGTCCTCAAAATGAGGCATTTGCTTTCTGATCTATTATAACCCCTTGTAATATGTTTCGAGGATTACAAACTAGTCCAAATATTAGACCATGCCATGAGCTGAGCTTTTGTAAGATCTTCTGTCTGCACTCACATGCAACGTCCTGGTGTTGAATCAAAGTTACTGTCTATGCTAAAGTACTGACCTAAGTCATCATTCCATTTCATCTTCCCAGACAGTGCTGACAAGAAGGAACATATACACCGGTATAGAGTACCGGGATGATCCCACCATCTTCGCATGGGAGCTAATTAATGAACCTCGCTGCATGACCGATCCTTCTGGTGATACACTCCAGGTAACTTCGACCTCATCTCAATATTTAAATGTTTGAACAATAGAGCGGTCCATCATTTAGTGAGGCCGTTGTCCAGTTTATCAAGCAGAAATCTGTTTTTGTTGTTCTAATCTCAGCAGTTCAAGATGATTTTGGTTTAGAACAAGTCATTCAATTATGTCATGACTGAGCTCAACTACTTGTTGTCCTGAGCTTTTGGGGCCTAACTTTTTCATCCATCCCAAAAAGATTGATACCTTTTGTATTTGGAGATTATTTAATTTAACAAAACCCCCTTACCAATATAACTTACTATGACTCCGCTTTATATAAAAGCTGATGTTTTATTAGGTGAGAAAAATGTGAAGGGACATGTGGAACTCTTACCATCTCATTTAATTGTTTGTAATTTTGGTACTTTACATATAACTAGCTTATGTGTCAAAAATACTCAATTGTTTCTTGAACTCCATGTCTAATGAAACACCTTAGATAAAATGGGACAAGGGAGTATTTATTACTGTTTATTGATATTCAAATCATTATTAGTGTGTGGGTCCTCGATGCGTATGAGGGATGTTATTCATTTGACATTTCTTGTACACTACCTGCATTTGTGATTGCCATCTTAAAATATTAGCGCGCGCATTTGATTTAATAAAGGAAAAGATTATTAGCATGATTGCATTATCGTCATCGGTTGCAACGTTTACTAAAGGAATTCATATTCATGTCTTATCAAAAAAAAAAGGAATTCATGTTCATTCTCTTTTAGATTTGTTCTAATGGCATGTTGAATTCGAAACTCTGAACATTGCTTCTTCATAGTTCAGAATTGCATACCTACATTTGGCATTTGAATTACCGAGGGTGGTTTCTTTTTTTCCTTCTCTTTGTAGTAAATTTTCAGCAAATGATTTTTGGGGAAGTAGACTCTGCTTATTTATCGCCGACCCCAACTTGTTTGGGATTGAGGCGTAGTCTTTGTTGTAGATTCTGCTTCTTTACACATTTATGTGGGTATGCATTAATAGCATGACGCCAAATTGCAGGACTGGATAGAAGAGATGTCAACATTTGTGAAATCAATTGACAGGAAACATCTGCTCACAGTGGGCCTCGAAGGATTCTATGGTCCTAGAAGTCCCAAAAAATCAATTGCCAATCCAGAAGTTTGGGCAGCTGATCTTGGATCCGATTTTATCCGCAACTCTATACTTTCAACTGTTGATTTTGCCTCCGTACACGTATACCCAGACCATTGGTAAGCTTTACATTATGCTTAATTTCGTGAATTAGTGCTAAATAAGAGAAGAAAAAGGGATAAGGCATTCAAATAGTTGGAAAAGGATTTATATATATCTTCAAATTTAAAACCAAGAGAAATTTTCTGTAGGTTTCACCACAAAAATTTTGAAGAGATGTTGAAATTTGCGGCCAAATGGATGCTTTCTCACATAGAAGACGGTGACAGGGAACTGAAAAAGCCAGTCCTGTTTACTGAATTTGGTTTGTCAAATGATAACGAGGATTTTGAACCAGCTCAACGTGATAGATTCCTCAAAATGGTTCTTGATGTTATATACAAGTCTGCAAAGAGAAACAGGTCGGGGGCAGGATCATTTTTCTGGCAATTCCTTGTTGAAAGAATGGAACGGTTCAATGACGAATATGGAATTGTTCCATGGGAGAATCCATCAACGTATCGATTAATTACAGATCAGTCGTGTAGGCTGGCCAAAGTTCAGGGTCTACTGTCAACACAAGCTGAGCATTTAAAGAATTTTTGTGCCCCGAGGAACTAATAAACTTTTTTTTTGTTTTGGAAAAAGAAAGTTTACATATTATTATGAAAATACTCCAGCATTTTTCTTCTGAAATTCATTCTAAGGGAAGAACTGTAGGACATAGGTTTACTCATTGTATTTCTCACGTTATAGATATGTAAAATTTTCATCAAATCAAACACATGCAGATTGTTCTCACACTGCTTCATTTTCTCAGATTGGAAAATATATCAGTACTTGAATTTCTGTAAGTCTCCATCACAAAATCTTCGATGGGAAAAAGAAAAAGGTGCAACAGTAAGAACTAATCCACACTTGGGTTTACGCCAAATCAATATGTGCATGACATGTGTTAACATATAGACTTAAATCATTTAATTATGATTAACTAATATGTATTCTTACCACATTAAACTCTGAGTGCAAATAAGTATTTCTACAGGTGGCAATTTAAGCCCAAACACATTCAATCTGCACAATCCGTCCAAGGTTGGGCTGCTCATTGACGCACTCATTGAACTCAGCCCATCTTGACCTAGTTCATCTCTGTCCATCTAAAGGGTAAAAATAGCACGGTCTAGCCAATTTTCGGACTGGTCATTCAAAAATAGCAAGCATTTACCAAGTCAATGAAAAATAACCACTATTTTGCTGCAACAGAGACCGGTCCAGCATAATATACTGGAGTTCGGTGCACTTGTGTATGAACTTCGAGCATATTATGCTGGAACTCCAACACACGGAAAGTTCCAGCATAATATACTGGAGATTCGAGCACTTGTGTATGAACTTCCAGCATATTATACTGGACCGGTATCCTTTGCTGGAACTCCAGTATATTATGCTGGAGTTCTAGTGTGCTTATGCTGGAATTCCATCATATTATGCTGGAGTTCTAGTGTGCTTATGCTGGAACTCCATCGTATTATGCTGGAGTTCCAACATACTTATCCTGGAACTCCAGTATAATATGCTAGAGTTCAAGTATACTTATGCTGGAACTCCAGCATAATATACTGGCGTATTTTTCGGGTTTTGAACAGTGTTTTCGCTCAGATTTTTCTTTACGTGAAAAGTGGCTAAATTTCGATTACTTTTGATACTGGGCTATTTTTGAACGACCACTTGTAAATCTGGCTATTTTTGAATTTCTCCCTCTAAAGGTGGTCTGATTTTTAGCCCAAATTAATCCATGAGCAACTTTGCTAAAATATATTTAAAATACTTTTTTGTTTGATATATTTATTATATATGACCATAACAAAGAAAAAATGTCTCATTTAATAACTAAACAATTCATATGGAAATAACACATTAATTAAAACTTGGTAAGAGTTGGGCGATTTGAGCTATGACCCAAATTTCAGCCCATTTTAACTCAACTCATCTCAGCCCAAGTAACTTTTGGACGGGTATCACGCCACTTATTGACTCATTCTATTTTGACTCGTTCAAAATCAGTCCAATCTGTCAATTTGTCACTCCATCAGTATTTCCTTCCTAAGCCCATCTCCAACCTTACCCCATTTCCTCATAATGGGGCAACTTTTGGGGTAATGAAGCTCCAACCCTCCCCCATTTTTGCCCCCAAAATGGGGGATGAATAGTGTTCCCTCAAATATGGGGGTACACTATTCATCTCCCCCATTACTATTCATGTATATTTTATTATTATTTTATTATTTATTCTTTTAATTTATCTCTTTATATATACCTAATTATATTTATGTAATATCTTTATAATATTAATTTTACATCTTAACTTTGGCGTATTAATTTTCGTGCATTTATTATTTTATGTAAAATTGTAAGTTAATTTTATTATAAGTTATAATTGTACAAAAAATATATAATCATCTCAAAAAATGAATGGTACAAATATAAAATATTAGATGTTGCTAAAATTGAAAGGTGCGAATATAAAATATTAGATGTTGCTAAAATTGAAAATTGAAAATACATTAAAATTGGAAATACATGACAATTGANATATTTTATTATTTAACTCTTTTAATTTATCTCTTTATATATACCTAATTATGTTTATGTAATATCTTTATAATATTAATTTTACATCTTAACTTTGGCGTATAATTTTGATAAATTAATTTTCGTGCATTTATCATTTTATGTAAAATTGTAAGTTAATTTTATTATAAGTTATAATTGTACAAAAAATATATAATCATCTCAAAAAATGAATGGTGCAAATATAAAATATTAGATGTTGCTAAAATTGAAAGGTGCGTGATCTTAATGCACCAATTCAAGATGATTTGGAAGGTCCACCTCCAACGGTAGAAATGGCAGTAGATGAAAATCAACGATTTTAAGAATTTTTAGCTCGACATAGAAGAATTAAGGACAAAGATGCTCATTTTGCACTTCGTAATGCATTAATAGATCATTTATGGGAGAATACTAAAGGTTGAAGTTGAATATTTATGTAGTATTTCGAATGAATTTTATCGTTATGTAATATGTATCTAATTAATCTTGTATCGCAGTGATTTTACTTTTATTTGAATTATTAGTTAATCTATAATAATTGCTTATAAATTATATTATTTAAAATTTCATGGAATTGTTTTAATGGAAATTACAAATTAATGAAAATAAAAGATGGAATTTGTTTAATGGAAATTAAAAAATAAAATTGAAATGAAAGATAATAATATAATATAGAAGAAAGAGAAGAATATAAAAAAGTTTGGGGGAATAATTGGGAATGGTTGAAGTAAGTTGTCCCCAAAATGGGGAAATCCTCATTTTGAGGACCAAAAATGGAGTAAAGGTTGGAGATGCCCTAAACCAATAGTTCGATGAGAAATACATGGACCATGTAGTATTGGGTCAGACTTTGGTAAAACTCTAGAATATGTTTGACTCTGTTGTCCAAGTAGTCCATTCTTCTTATATTCACTCAATGTTGTTTTAAATCGGGAAACTTACATAAATATACCCAAAAAGGTATTATTTACCAATAACTAAATTTTTAGTAATGGTATCAAAAATAACAAAAAATAAATTATCAATAATATAGAATATTCAAAAAGCATAGGCAAAAAAAGATTTGTTTTAATGGGTATTATTGTGATTCGTTGAAAACACATAGATGAGGCAATACAAAATTTAAGGAAGTTTGAAGGTGAATTAGAATAGTTTGGGGACAAAATGATAAAATTCATTATCAATGATATACAATATTAAAATAATTATACAAAAAAGAATTTTTTTTCGATAGGTATGATTGAAATTCGTTGAAAACACATAGATAAGGCAATATACACAATTGAGGAAGATTGGAGGTGATTTGGACTGGTTTAGTATCAAAATTCATAGTTAAATCGAATTTAAAAATTCTTCTGCGACACATGTACCACACATATCTCACACACATCTATGCATGGATATACATGTGATACATATATGATATATATGTAATACATAGTATGATACACATATCATTTTTTTCTATGTTCATCTTCTACTTCTAGTTCTCAATTCAAACCACCTCAAAATTTCATCAAATCATCCCAAAACTAAGATTTAAACTCATGTATCCAATCTATTCTAATAACACCCACTTAAAAGAAAGCAAAAAATTTAACATTTCTTTGACTATAAATAGCTAATTGGCTAATATTGATAGAATTTGACTATTATTGATAATATTCTATAACAACAACAATAACAACCCAGTGTAATCCCACAAGTGGGGTTTGGGGAAGGTAGTGAGTACGTAGACCTTACTCCTACCCCGAGGGAGTAGAGAGTCTATTTCCGAAAGACCTCGGCTCAAGAAGGCGAACAGAGATAGTAAGTCAGTATCATCAGCAGAAATCATAGAAATAATAACAGCAACATAAGGACCAGAAAATAGATGAAAAACAAAAGCATTAACAAGTAAATAAAACCCCGTCCTATGTAAAACGGAAGAATAGTATGAAAACTTAACCACTAGCAGTCTAAGATAAAATCCTATTAGACTAGTCTCCCACACGGTACGAAGTAGAAAAAAGCTCAACTACCTCCTAACCTACAACCCTAATATTCGACCTTTACACCTTCCTATCAAGGGCCATGTCCTCGAAAATCTGAAGTCAAGCCATGTCCTGCCTGATAACCTCCCCCCAAGACTTCTTAGGCTGCCCTCTACCTTTTCTCGTACCCGCCAAAGGTAACTGCTCACACCTTCTTACCGAGGCTACTGGACTTCTCCTACGCACGTGCCCGAACCATCTGAGCCTCGCTTCCCGCATCTTGTCATCCGTAAGAGCCACACCTACCTTCTCCTAAATATCTCCATTCCTAATCTTATCCATCCTAGTATGCCCGCACATTCAACTCAACATAAGATTTATCGGTCAAAGTCTAAATTTAGAAAAAAACTGGCTACTGATAACCAGGTTTTACTTCATTTCCACAATGTTATTTAAGTAAAACAATAAGAATGGTAGAGAAAATATACTAAAAGAAATAAAGAATAAATTGATGGACAATTTATAAAACCAAGGCCGAGAGTTTCGATAAAGTAGAGAAATAAAGAGTATATTTCAATAGTACTTCGAATTTATCTTTACAAATAAAATTTTGTATCCTTATATAGGAGTGTACAATCAAAACGGTTTTCTCACATAATTTGGGTTTATTATGGGCATTGATGGTATTGATTTCCCATTACCACAGATAGCAATAACTGGCGTATTTATTGCTATAAATGCCCTATAACTATTCCAATTCCCCTTCCTTATTTACTTCCGGTTCATATATCTTATCTTCTTTTTTATCTTTATTCATTCCGTCCTCGTCTCTTCTTTGTCAACTATTAGGCCCGATTCTCTTCTCTGTACCGCCTCGTGGGCGTTTCTCCCGTGCCTTCCTCAATTAATTGAGAATGTCACTTGTCGCTATATCACTGTTCCACGCGTCGTGCTTTGTCTGCATACTAACATTTCACGTGTAATGCCATTTTTTCAGTAATATAGATAGTCCCCCACTTTCTGAATATTCTCTACTGAATATTAGGGAATTGGAAAGCATTTATGGCGGGAATTCTCTGCCGCCGTTTTTTGAATATAATCATGTCTCCTTCAGAACCGATGCAACGTACATCACATCTATTTAATGCTCATGCCACGTGGCTTCTACTGATTGGTTATGCAGTTTCTCAGTGCTTTTTAGGGTTTTCTGCGGCTGTGTCAGTCACGAAGTGA